CGAGTAACAACAGAGAGATATGGAATTACTGAATTGAACAATTCTGTGGATACATTGCAATGAATAAGCGACATTCGTCTGTAACACAATGATGCAATTACCATTACAGTTTGACAAAACATTACAATGACGGTTATTTCGAAGAATGATACACTTGTATTAATTGCTACGGTACACATATTTTACTGTACATCGACAGGACATCCGTGATACTGAATATACCATATACCAGGAAAATTATGGAATCGTAATGAAGACTACAAATCCAAGAAAATACCTTCACCAGATTCGGTGACAATCTACAATAATGATTTACGATGACCTGACGACAACGCAGGTTGTGAAATGATAATCCAAGCCCTTGTCATGAATTACCGATGGACGGACAAGATGCGAAAGCTCTCGCTATTTAGTCCGTCAAACCTGGCGTAATCGACGTCACAATTTTGACCAGTTCTTTGCCGCGGTCATTCACGATATGACACTCCACGTTGCAGGGGACATTCCCCATGTGGACGAACCAAGTACGAACAGCTCCTTTCTCTGTCTTCATTATCGGGCCGATTTCGCCACTCCGTGCAGTTATGGGAAATCCGTCGAACGACGACAATTTAAAATAGATGTAAAACATGTCTGGATAGTCATAGTTGCACGTAAATTGGATCGTAGAATACGGCTCGACTTCGCCGTTCATCGGCATTAGGCTTACCATGAGCTCACCTGACCAACGTATTGTCATTACTATTCTTTTAGGGGGGAAGGATAAGTTTAAAATATTTTTTTTACTATAATGTATAAATGTAAAATCCTGACGAAAAAGTTCTGCTCTCACGCTTCCAAAAACATATTCAAATATAATAAATCAGATAATTTGATCTATTGTAGATTATTTTCTTTTTACCGCGAGTAACTTTTTAGAACGATATTTCTTCGTTATAAATAATTTGATACAATTTATCACTCAATTCTTTTTAAAAGTTGTCTTTTTGGGAACAAAAGTAATTGGAAACATTAATTGTGTTAATGAAATATTATTTCTAATTTCTATTGCGTTAAGAAGCGCTATTACTTACCAACACCACTGTCTTGGCAATACTGTCCTATATATCCTGGCAGGCAGTGGCATTTGATATGGCCAGATCTGCTGATTTCGCAGCTCTCTTCATTTTTGTTGCATGGACAGGGATTACACGCGCCCAAGTAACTGATAGTCCGATCGCTGGTGTCTCTATAATAACCGCGAGCGCAGGTTTCGCAGGAGGTGCCCGTGTAACCGGTCGGACAGCGGCAAGCTTCAACTTGAGTCGCACGTCGGTTTCCAATTAGATTTTCTACGGCCGTGTCCATGCTAATATCACTGATATATGTTGCGGTCATTCTCTCACTGTGGGACGCGCGGACCAAGATAGCTTCTAAATTGGAAAGCACTATCATGAGATCCGTCCTGGAAGCGCTGCGCGGTCCTTCGGTGGTTAGTCTTCTCCATTCGTGCTCTTTCAAAGGAACGGTGTAGGTCTGAAAGGTGTACGTCTTTACAATTGTGAAACATTTGGATTTTAATTTAATTTATAGCATTATACAAAGTTTAGTGTTTTATACACATAATACTATAAATTAAATTATTTAACGATAAATGATGTAGATATTCAATTAAATAATAAATAAAGGATAAAGAAATTTTATTAGAACAACTATAATAACTATGGTAAAAAATATTTTATCCATTTGGTAAATTGGGTTCAGGTTTTTCGATCTTCTCAAAAAATTATAAAATATAGAATCTATTCTACGTACCAGCGGAATTTCAGGCTGGAGCTCCACCGGATTTGTCCAGAATAATGTAATGCCGTTGCCAATCAGCAAAATGTCTTGATCTCTGTAACTCTGAGCGCCAGGATACGCAGTGATATGCTGCGTCAAAGTCAAGTTTCCGCCGTAACTCTTCACTTTGTTACCGGTGAAAACACTCGGAAGCGACCAGAACAACCTGCGGCTTCTGCTATCCGGATAGCGGTAGCCGATTTCATTCATTGCCACATTTAGCTCGAAACCATCGTCAATTATGTCGCGTCTAGTCCTAAATAAGGACATTAAATCAATTCATTCCAAATTTTATTTGCTTCTTATTATAAGTACAAATTTTATTTATCAAAATAAAGCAGGAAAAAATTAATAAAATTTTTATTCATGCTTATATAATATTAACTTAAAAAAAAAACTTGAAAAAATGAAGCATACTTACGAGTCCGTAAGAGTGAAGCCGTGATGGGAGTCATATACCCACATCGGTATTTGTTGTATGTATAATGTACTCTCATGACATTGATCAGTTACCCCGCTGCAGTAACACTCGATGCATCCATCAATGTTCTCGGCGCGTAATCCGTATGTCGACGGGCGGCATCGATTACATTCTGGACCCTCGACGTTCCTCTTACACTCGCATCGACCGTCGACGCAAGAAGTGCTACGTGAACCAGCCTCGTTGCATCTGCATGGCTCAGGTCTCTGACTTCTATACGTGCAATCATTCGGGGTGCCTCGAGTAGCGTCTCCTTCGTATCCCGGTTCACACAGTTCGCAGTACTCTCCCGTAGTATGATGAGCGCAATTCTGTCGACGTAAGGTATCAATTTTTGTATCAAATGCTTCTGATTCCCTATCTACATATTTATATAGCCATATTTTTATAAAATTCTAATTAACTTCAGTTAAGTTTTTATATTTTTATATTTTATATCTTTATATCAAATATATAAAATTGCATTTTGGAAAAATATTGTATTTAAATTAAGCAGTTATCAATATAACTACTTTAAGTCTAAACGATTAAACTTTTTCATTAAATTTAAACTAAAAAAAAAACAAAAGAATTTCGTTATATTAATTAAAACGTAACGTCGTCGCTCAATTAAAATTATTTTTATTACCTCACAAGTGCCAGTTTCGGGATCGCATTGATTCGTGTGATTATTACAATTGCACGGTTCGCAGATGCCTAAATAGAGACCTTCAATGGCCCGGGTGTAACCAACGTCGCAATCCTCGCATGAAAGTCCTCTGTAGCCAGCGGGGCAAGTACATTCTTCAACCTCGACTGCACGAGCTTTACCTGTGTTATATTTTTCGGCGGTGTCCAAAGACACGAAGGAGAGCCTAAAGCATACATAATGTTCTTGCTCAATTACGGTAATTAAAACATTTTCTAAAATATTCTTATTTTTAATTTTATTTTAATTGAATATCGAATAAATACGTAATTTTTGTTTTAAAATGTCAATTTTGTTTTGAAATTTATATATTATCTATTTTACAAACATTTTTAAACAGTTCTTCGAAATGTTTCTTTCGGATAATTTTTCTAAAAAGCTTAAATAGTCTTTTTAAATAGTCGTTTTTTTTCTTTATTGTTAGTTATCATTTAATTGCGAATACATAAGATTGAAAATCAAGAATGCATAAAGTACTTACGCAGCTTCGTCTGTATGCGTCGTGTAAGTGGCTTTGATTCTGATGGCTCGTACATCTGCCAAAGCCATTAGAAGGTGCTCCCTGTCCGCTTGAGTTCCATCATTACGTTGCCAATATTGCTCGAGCAATGGTACGGTGAATGATTGCTGAGAGTTAGGCTCGGGAGACTCGCGGGAATAGTAAAGCAAGTTGATGTCGTTAGCCTGTATGCATTTTAAATCACCCTGTTATATCTTTATCGTCAAGTACACTGATTAAGGCTCACGAATGTGCACTCACGCTAATGAGTTCGACGTCCGCAGCGTTGTTCCTTGAACTTTGACCGCCTGGAGAGGGCACATATCTGACAGTGTACTTGAGATTGCCACCGTAAGATGTTATTTGATCTCCTAAGAAAATGCTGGGCAATTGCCAGTAGTAGACGTCGTTGTTACCACGATTGGGAAACTCGCCATAAACTATTTCTCGGTTAATGGTGTTTAGATGAATTCCTTCTACAATGTCTGGTGTGTCAGTGCTCTTGGATTCGATCAAAGAGAAACCTCGAATCGAGTTGGTAAACGATACGCGAATCTGCAAAGTGCAAATGATAGATATAAGATTTTATTTTAATCGAGATAACTTATATTTCTATAGAAATTGTACAAAATAGTATACAATATTTTGTGTGTTAAATTTATATATGAAATATAAAATCTCGCTTATATACATAGTTTTTCATGTTGAAAAGATTAAATTACGCAATAACATCGAAATAATGTTAAAAAAATTTTAATTAATTGAAAAGTGATTTTTTTTAGTAATTTTTTGAAGCCATTTTAATGTCATTTTTTGATCTCATGATTTGTATTCTGTTTGAGATCTGCATGACAAAGATGAAAATAGACATTATATATTATATCTTCGTTGTACCTCGTTCCTGTACCAGTTAGAAGAGACGCATCTGTTGGTGATGCCCATGCAGAAGCAAGCTATGCATCCAAATTGGTTCGACGAGGCCAGATTAAAGGTATTCGCCTTACATTGGTTGCAAGTGAGACCCGTCGCATATTGCTAAAAAAAGAAATATTAGAGAATAGACGACGGTTCTCGACCGCGAGACGTTGTACCACTCATTTTTATTCTAAACCTCGATTTACATACATTTTTATATATAGAAAGACCATAAAATATACTTACATTTTTAAAGTTAAAAATAATCCACAGAAGATGGATGCAAGAACAATAATAAAATTGTTATGCGAAGTGTTCAAAAAATTGCGCAATTTATCTCGCATAAATTTTTTGATAAAACAATTTATTTGATCTTTTTTTGAAGATGAGATTATAGTAAAAAAAAAATACGTAATTTCTGAGATACCCTGTGGGAAATTACGCGTAATAGCAGCGGTATTATTATCGATATGTTGTACCTTGCAATGACATTTTCCAGTATGTGGATCGGCGTTAGGACTAAGACTGCCGTTAGGATCACATTGCTGAAGCGGAACGCACATATCTCCAGGAATAAGAGGATTTCCCTGGTAACCAGTGGCACACTGTTCGCACCTGCGTCCAACGTAGCCAGGAGGACAATCACACGTGGGTTGGCCGTCAGAGCCAAGATGACACGTGCGAGCGAATCTATTTATAATATGATAAATTACCAAAGTGGTT